AAGAAAAAGAAAAACTACTTACAAAACAAATAAAAAAATGTTAAACATTTAACCTCAAATGTCATTACTAAATTTATTCAGTAACTATTTATATTTAAATTAATTAATTTAGAACTAAAAAGAATTCTAAGTGTTTAAGTTCTCATCAGTATTCTCAGATAGCCATTCCTTCTCTCCCTTTTTTCTTTTTTTGAAATTCTGGGTATTCTGTCTTTATATTACTTCATGCAAATAGTTCCAGTGCCTGATACAGTACTAGGCATATAATCAGTGCTTAATAAATGTTTTTTGATTGATTGATCCAAAAGCAATAAATAAATTTGATTTTCCTCCTAAAAAAAAGAGAATGACAATAATGAAACAACATACCGACATTTATGGTATGTAGCCTAAGTAGTTCTTACGGGAAATTTTATATCTCTAAAATGTTAAATGAATAAAGTAGAGAAACAGGAGATCAATGAATTGGACATGGAACTAAAAAAGCTAGGAAAAAAAAATAAAATCCCCAATTGAATACCAAATTATAAATTCTGAAAATCAAAAGGAAAGTTAATAAAATTGAAAGAAAGGAAGCTAGTGAACTAATAAATAAAATTAAGGGCTGGGGTTATGAAAAAAAAGAAGATAACCCTTTGGCTAATTTGATTTAATAAAAAAAGAGAAGAAAAGCAAATTGCCAGTATAAAAAATTAAGGGTGAATTTATCACCAATGAAGAGGAAATTAAAGCAATTATTAGGAGTTATTTTGCCTAACTGTCTGCCAATAAATCTGCCAATCTAACTGAAATGGAATAATATTTACCAGAAATATATAAAATGCCCAGACTAAGAGAACAGGACATAAAATACTTAAATAAACCCATTTTAGAAAAAAAAAATTGAACAAGCCATCAAAGAAATCCCTAATGAAAAATCTTCGGGACCAGATGGATTTACAAGTGAATCATATTGAATATTTAAAGAACAATTAATTCCAATAGCATATAAACTATTTTGGGGAAAAATTGGCAAATACTGAGTCCTACCAAATTATTTTTATAACAAAAATATGGTCCTGATACCTAAACCAGGAAGAGCTAAAACAGAGAAAGAAAATTATAGACCAATTTCCCTAATGCACATTGATACAAAAATGCAAGTAAAATAGTAGCAAAGGTAGTATAGCAATTTGTCAGAAGGATAAGTCACTATGACCAAACATGGTTTATACCAGGAATGTAGGGCTGGTTCAATATTAGCATAACTATCAGCATAATTGACCACATCTATAACAAAACTAACAGAAATCATATACTTATGTCAATAGAGGAAGAAAAAAAAAGCTTTTCACAAAATACAGGAACCATTCTTACTAAAAACTCTAGAGAACATAGGAATAAATGGAGTTTTCTTTAAAATGATAAGCAGTATCTATCTAAAACCATCAGCAAAAATACGCATAATGGCGATAAGTTCAGAAGTTTTCCAATAAGATTAGGGGTGTCACAAGGATGCCCATTATCACCACTATTTTTCAATATTACACTAGAAATGTTACCTTTAGCAATAAGAGGAGGTTGCTCTTTTGCGAAGGGGGGAAGGAAGATAGGGAGGAATTTGTTACTCAAAAGTTTTATAAAATTGAATATTGAAAACTCTATTTACAAACAAGTTGAAAAAAATATTGTTAAGTGGGAAAAAATAAAGGTAGTGTCTGAGGAAGAAGAGATATGAGTACATTTGTGATACATGTATGGTGAAGAAATTCCAAGATTTGGAAACTAGATATGTTCGATGAATAAGAGAGAGGAGTTAAGGATGATGTCAGCATTGTGGGCCTGAGTGCCTGAACAGATAACGATGCTCTTAAAAGTAATAGGAAAGTTGAGAAGAGGGGAGATAACCAATTCTATTTTAGACACATCTATTTTACATACATATGGTACATCCCGTTCAAAATGTTCAACAAGCAGTTGGTGTGATATAGGAAAAGTGCCCAGGAAAGAAACTGGGGCTGGATAACCTGATACAGAGATCATTTGCCTAAAGATAGCAGTTGAACCCATTAAAATTCAAAAGGTTACCAAGGGAAAGAATATAGACATAAAGAGAAGCAGGTCTAGGGCAGAGCCTTGGGAGGACAGCAACAGTTAATTAGGAATGCTATGATAATGCAGTAAAAAGATTGATCAGTGGTCAGATAGGTGGGAGGAAAACCAAGAGATAGCCATATGAAAATCAAATAAGAGAGTATATTCTCCCACAAGGATGAGAAGCTCAGCAAAGGCAAAGTCTACAGAAACGTTAAAAAGGAGGAAGATTACAAAAAGACCACTGGAATTAGCAATTATGAAATCCTTGGTAATTTTGTTATGGAGAGAGCAATTTCAAATGAGTGTTGAGGTTAGAGGCAACCTTGCTTATTATGCCTAACACATGAAGCTAGAAAGTGGTGGCACAAAGAGAGATGCAACAAAAATGGTTTCCTAAAGACATTGATAACCTCCTATTGGGTGGGAGTTGGGAAAAGTCCTCTCCACAAGTGACCAAGATATCCAGGAGGAGAAAGAGGCGCAAGGGAGAAGTAGTGCAAGCTTCAGCAATGGCTGGTTTGTCAAAGCAAGGAAAACAGTATCAGGCAAGCTACATGCCAGGTCCAAGTGGGGAGATATAAGGGATGCTCCCCATTCTACAGGACAGAAGATGTTCTTTGTAAAAAGAATTACCTTGATTATAGCAAAGGTGTTTTTTTTTTAATAATGTATTTCATACCACCCTTCTGGAGAAGATAAAGAGATGATAAGGTGCATTCAGAGGTGGTTGGGTGGCCATATTCAAGGAAGAATTATTTATAAAGGCTCCCAGTCAATGTGGCTAGAGTTCAATGCTGCTGGTTTTATCATGATTTGGATTAAGGTGTAGAGGGCATGCTTATCACATTGTCAGATGACACAAGGTTGGGAGAGAGAGCAAAAATAATATTTGAGTGAATCAAGACCCCAAGATCTTGACCATTGGAGGATTTGGTTGGATATGATGGCAGTTCAATATTATAAATGCAACATTTTCACTTGGGTACAAATGATCTTAGTTATACATGTAAGATGAGGGAGGCATGGTTAGTAAGAAGTTGCTATGAAAATTAAAAAAAAAAAGTTTGGTGGGCTACAAGCTATCCTAAACAGGGACTGGTTCAAAATAGAAAGGCTTTGGGGAAGAAGCTAGTTTCTCAGTCATAGCATAGGCAGGAGGAGGAAGAAAATTCATGGTACATAAAACAAACTGCTGTCTGGAGGGAAGGTATGCATTTATCGCAGGAAAACAAGATATGTACGTGGCCTCTTGTTTTTAATTCCATGTTCACATTCTATACCCCTAGCTCTGCATAGCCATCTCACAAATTCTAGCTAAGTATTATAGGGAAGTAAGGTGGAGATTTGGATAAAAATAACGGGTGTCCTTTCTTTACACAGTTTGCTTGCAAAGTTCTAGGTAGCAAGCACTGTGTCTGATCCTTTTAATATTCCTGTGAAGTGGGGATTATGGATTTTACTATACTCATTTTTAAGTGGGAAAACTGAGTCTCAGAAAGATTAAATGAGTTGCCTAAAATTACCCGGTGAGCATTAGAAGAAAGATTCAAGCCTAGATTATCTTGACTGTCGTATCAGGCATTTGTGATGCAGTTGTATGTTACAAACATGGCTAACATTTCCCCAGATGCACAAACCAAATTATTGGTTCAGCCTGGACTCAGAAGTGTTGCAGAAAACGTCATTGTAAGCACCTGTCCTACTGAATGTTTGCCTGTATAATAACCTTTGAAAACAAACAATTAAAAAAAAACAATAAGCTCTGGTTTGCTTTAATAGAGTGCAAATTATTTGCAGGAATGTTGGTAGCCCCCTTGTCAGCTTAAATATTTACTTATTTTTTTTCAAATAAACTCAAATTTAATTTAGACTATTTCTCTCTTTCAGTGGAGACAATAATGAAAAAAAAATAGAATCATCAGACTAGAATGTAGAGTACTTTAAAGATGAAAAAAAAAATACTGAATCTCCAGTATGTAAAATGAATTGGGGAAGGAAATAGCAGTTCAATAGCTTTGCCAAGAAAACCCCAAATAGGGTCACAAGGAGTAGGGTGTGACTGACATGGCTGAACAACAATAACAAAGATTTGAATCTGATAAACTAAATTACCTGATGTCATTAATGTGGACACATGGAACAGAGGAAGGTCTCAACCCTGACTAATAATGAATTCAGTTTTATTATTGTTTTCAAAACATATGCAATTTAACTCCATTGCTTATCATTTAGAGCTGGGAATGGGAATTCTCCCCCCTCTGTTCAGAGCTGATGACTCATGGTGGGAAGGGATAGAATGAAATGGGAATGGGAAAAGCCAACCTAGATTTTTTAAAATTTTTTACCAATTTATTCTGTTCCTATTCATCACCTTTTAAGATTAAGAATTGGATACATAAGCTCTGCTTTTCAAACCCCTAACTTTGCTTATTAAGAAAATTAGTTCTCTAGGATGTTTTTACTGACTTACAAAGGGACAAGGAGGTAAAAATTAAGTAAGAAAGACTTGAAGGTAGATGAAAAGGAGAAACTGACAGAGGTAAGATACAGATTTAGAAAAATGCAAAAAAAATACCTACAAATAGAAGGGAACAAAAAGAAAGGACTGAACCATAAGTATAAACACATGGGATCCTACTTATAAAGAGGTGATTGGGTTTTCATTATTAACAGACCCAATTAAAACCTTTACATATATTTATTTACGATCTGGATCTAGTTCATATTTAAAGGGATTTGAAATGGCTTTACAACCTTTAAGGTACTCCTACTAAAGGCTTTAGAAATCATGTGATTCCATAGCCATTCACCCACATTAGCTCTAAGAATCTTTTCAAGTTCTATAGAAATGCGATGAGGACCATCACTTATTCATCTCTGCTAGACATTCATTTGTATAGGTGATCTGGTATGGTTTACTTTACCTTTGGTTTACTGTTACATTCATTGTATCATCAGGCTTTCTTCCATCTATGGTCCACCAAATCTCACTCTTTGAGTCTTTCAAGAAGGGAAAACGGACTTTACAGGGAAGTTCAAGCTCCTCACCTAGGAGATATTTGTAAAGTACAATTGAAGTTTCAATCTGCACACTTTCTACACACATTGTGGTTTTTGTCTTTGGTTGATTAGACAATGAGACAATTAGAAAAAGTTGTCCTCTAATTCATGGGTCATTTAAGCCCAATCCTCAGGTGATATTGCCATCAAACAGTATCTTGAAATTTATATCAAAAAAGTCCACTTGCCATTTTTTCCCCTCACAATTGCCATCTTAAAATAATACTATCAGTAAGATTGTTAATTAGTTATTCCCTAGGTCCCTCCTAATATTCTTGGACATTCCCTTCTTGCCCTTTTTGCTTTTTACATCAATGCAAGACAGTGGGGGGGGGGTTGTAGCTCTTTTCATCAGGAATGTATTATATTGAAGTGATTTCCATGGAGCCATTTGGAGGTCAGGATTCTCAGTTCAATTCTGGACTCTTATTCATTTTCCTAAAATGATGGTAATGGATGAGGGGTGCCAAAGTTCTTAACTTTTAAAGACACAGCTACAGTAGAAAACTACCTTAGGTGCATAGAATTTGTAAATTGGAAAGGAGCTCAAGTGTTTTGTAGTTAAAACCGTATCTGAGAATGAATCCTTAGCCTGGTGTCTGTGGCAAATGATCATGTCTCATTGCTTGTGAATCTCCACTAAAAGAGGAAGCTGCTACCTCCAGAGGTGACCCACTCGACTTTTTCCCTAACCTCTGGAGCTGCCCATTTGACCTTTGCCCTTACCTCTGGAAGTACCCGCACTCAACCTTTTCACAGCTCGGTTTTTTGGGAAGTCAGTAGTTTGTTTTGTTTTCCATCATACCAAGCCTTGATTTGCTCTTTGCATATGAATCATTTTTTTTTGTTCATCTCTCTAGGGCCAAGCAGAAAAAGTGTGGTCCTTTCTCCATGAGACAGCCCATGTGATTCTTGGAGACAGTTTTTGTACTCTCCCCCCTACCTCTGACTCAATAGCCGTTCTTCCCCAGACTAAATGTTGCCAGCTGCTACTCCTGACACAATGTTGAGTTCTCTCTTGTAGCTTATCAGTATTATTCAATGATCCAGTTTACCAATGTCCTTGTCAAAAGGTGACATTCCAAATTAAAAACAATGATGATTATGATAACAGTTCATATAATAATTAATAATCTCCAATCTCCATGGAACAAAAAGTTTTCAAAACATAGACAGCTAGCCAAAGAAATAAAAATCAAAATTGAGTGGGAAGAGGACAAAGTGAACACATGTCATCTTCATCACCCTCTTTGCACTGAAGTTATCTCAAATGGATGCTGTCAATGTGTGTGCAGAAGATAACCTTACATGCTAACACTTCTATTCATCAGCAGAAATGAGTTATTACATTCATGGAATCAACAGTACACATAACATTGCAGGTAAAATAATAATAATAGTAAGATAGTAATTTATCCCAGAACTATGTCCATTTGACCTCAATTGAAAAAGATGAGAATGCAATAATAATCATAGTTACAATAAAAATTATCAGAATAATGGAATAGATTCCAAGATTTAGAACTAGAAACAGACATTAGGAGCCATCTAATACAATCTCATCATTTTTAGAGATGAACAAAGTGAGGATCCTAATTTAGAAACATCAGATCTGGCTTCCAGGGAATGAATGGCAATTTCCTGACCCAGAAGCCTGAAGAGAGTCTCTGCATCCTCCTCTAGCTCACTCCCCTTCCTTCTGTCTCACCAGTACTGTATCCTAACTCTGGAGAGAGTTGGAGGGAGCCCGATCAGTTGCCCATCCCCCTGGTCCCATCATACTACGGTGGCCTCCAAGCTCCTGCTCCCCCTATCTTTGTAAGGTGGAAGGAGGAAAAGGAAAGAAAAGAGGCAGGAGAGGTTAAAGAGATACAAAAAGAGGGAGGAGAAGGAAGGAAAAGGAGAATTCACACTGATGGCAGTTGGATGGTACCACAGTACACAAAACACTGAAATTGGAGTCAGGAAACCTTGAATTCAAATTCAGATTTAATCTCAGACACTTAATAGCTGAATGACCCTAGACAAGTCATTTAACATACATCAGCTTTCAATTTCCTCTACTGCAGAATGAAGATCCTAATATTACTTACCTTCTAGGGTGGTTATGAGAGTTAAATGAAGTAATGTTTGAGAAGAATTTAATACAGTACCTGGAATATAGATGATTCTTAATAAATGTTTATTCCTTCCCTTTACTAATTTGCTTTAATATAAATAAAATGCTCTGCTTGCATTGATTAAGAGTATTGATGTGTATTACAGGAATACAATGTCCCTCATTCAGAGCACTGCACATTCCCAGCCTTGGTCACAGACAGAAGATGGCCCTGGCTGAAAGATTCTTAACCTTTTTTATTTAATTTAATTAAATTTAACTTAATTTTATTTTATTTTATTTAATTTTTGCAACATTCACCTCTCTCACAGTCTGATAAAAGCTATGGATTGTTTCACTGAATATATAAACACATGTATGTGTGAATTTATGTGTACATCTATGAATATATAAAAATATGCACATGCATTTCTATATACATATATGCATGTGCTGATTTCAGTCATTTCAGTCATGTCGGACTCTGTGTGACCCCATTTGGGTTTTCTTGGCACAGATAGTGGGGCAGTTTGTCATTTCTTACTCCAGCTCATTTTACAGATAAGGAAACTGAGGCATATAGGATTAAATGACTTGCCCAGGGTCATACAGCTAGCTAGTTTATGAGGATGGATTTGAACTCAAGAAGATGAGTCTTCCTGACTTGAGGCCTAGCACTCTTTCCACTGTGCCATCTAGTTGCCTATACACACATACATATATGCCTATATATATAGGCATATATATATATATAGGCATATATATATAGGCATACATATATATATATAGGCATATATATATAGGCATACATATGTGTGTGTGTATATACATATATGTGTATGCATGCATATCTATCTATCTATATAGATAGATAGATAGATAGATAGATAGATAGATAGATATGTGTGTGTGTGTGTGTGTGTGTGTGTGTTTACATGAATGTATAAAGGAAATGCTAAACTTCAGTTAGAGGCTAATGAAAATAAAGATCTCTTTTTCCTATCCAAATTTCTGGATCCCCTGAAGTATACCCATGGCCCCTCAGTGTGATGTCTGAGGACATCAGAATAAGAATTCCTGATTTGCCATTGGACTTGATCAGCCTGATATCCCTGGTGTTTTTGCTGTCTTCTTCATCAATTGCCACTAAGATGGAGGGAAGAATCAGATTTGCATCATGAAGCTTTTTTCCCACTATTAAGGTGGATTTTCACCACAAACAAGGGAAATCTTCATTAGGAGATAAGTTTTCCTATGCCTTGGTATTTCAAAGTTTCTGATGAGGTAACTCTTTAAGGAAATCTCTTCCTTTTCTGAACCATCAAAGCCCTAGACTTCTCATGTTCATGTCATGGAATTAATTACAAGTTTTCAAAACCATGTTTTAATGCTTTTCATAATGCCAATCATAGCTGTTTCTTTGCTTGGTATATTGTGATTAAGGTCATTTTATTCATGCAGGAGTGTTTTTTTTTTATCATGAAGGACACAAATTATTAGATCCAATAATTTGGAAAAAAGTATAATGTTCCCTGTGTCTTCAAATTTGATAGTATTAAACAATGGAAATTTTGAAATGCATGAATAAACAAACAAAAATAACAACAGCAAACCTTCTTGGCCCAATCTAGGGATGATGAGGAGGAGGCCTAAACATCTCAGGACAAATAGAATGTGCCACAGACAGCCTTCCAAGCACTTAGCTTTGGAATGGCCCCCCACCCATCCCCTGGAGAAAAAAAAGAATGGTATCAATACCTGGTTCCTTTTCATAAATGATGTCATCATTGGGATAGAAAATGTGAGGGGGCGTTGCATAATGTGGAGAGGCTGCAGGAGAGAAGAGAAACACTGATATTCAAGCAGGCTTTGGAGGAAGTTGCCCTAAGTACAACTTAAGGGAAGCCCCAAGCCACCCCAGCCTTTCTCACTATTCATTGTTGCCAGATACAATACAAATATGTCATTGATGATGATTTTGATGATGATAAGCATTAATATTAGGGAACACATACCTGGAGGCTACAAAATAAAACCCACAAATGAAAGCACCTACCAAATACCAAATACAATTGGTAGCTGGAATAATACATCTGATGCTGACTATCTCAAACTACCAGAAGACAAATCCTTGTGCTACAAATAGGAATCTCAAAATGGTCTTGAGAATTTAATGAGTAAATGTTATTGGACTTTAGCCATCATCACTTTGCCCCCAGTTCCCTGGGCATAACATTAAGCCAAAGCAATTTAAGAGCAACGTTTCTAATGAGTTCGTCTTACTCCAAGCTATGGGCGGGGGGGGGGGTGGTGGAGGGAGAAGGGAAAGTTTTCAAAATAAAGAAAGCCAGTGGGGAAAATTAAAAACATTAAGGAACAGGATGAAGGGAAGATCTTTTTCATTAGTCCAACTGCTCCTGGAGTGGTCAGATTTTTTTTCAGTGATTCTACAAAAGATAGACTTATATCCTACTGGATTAACCTTTATTTAGTTATTTCCCTACCTAGGGCCTCAGACAAATGAAAAGGTGGGAAAGTGTGTGTTAAGGCTCTGTCCAGTTCTGAATTTCAGTGTAAAATATAAGCTTTCTGAGTGCAGGTGTTGTCAGATTTTTGAATTTGCATCCAGAGCACCCAGCACGGGATTAGACACAGAATGGACATTTAAGAAGGTTTCGTGCTTTCCCTTCCTTCCTTCCTTCCTTCCTTCCTTCCTTCCTTCCTTCCTTCCTTCCTTCCCTCCTTCCTTCCTTCCTTCCCTCCTTCCCTTCCTCCCTCCTCTTTCTCTCTCTCTCTCTCTCTCTCTCTCTCTCTCTCTCTCAGTATTTCTCTCTGTCTCTCTTTGTCTCTGGGTCTCTGTCTCTGTCTCTCTCTCTGTCTCTTTCTTCCTTTCTTTCTTCCTTGTGCGAGTTTGGAGCAGGGATATACAGAACTGGGATTGAGAGCTCTTGTTCCAGAGTCAGGAAGCCCTGAGTTCAAATCCAGCTTCAGGCATTTACTAGTTGTGTGACCCTGAGCAAGTCACTTAATCACTGTCTGTCTCAGTTTCTTCACCTACTTCTTCTAGTCCTTATTTCCTAAAGCTGTTATGAGGACTAAATAAAATCATATGTATACAGTGTTTTGTAAACATTAAAATGTCATACCAATGCTATTTATTAGCATTATTACTGCCCATGTCTTCCCCTATAATATCAAGGGTGCCATCTGTGGTGCCTATGTCTGAAGGATGAACTTTCTGAAGTTTATAGAAGCCATGGACCCAGGTAAAAAGCAAAGGAAGACATTCAGGCAGAATCCAAATTCTGGCCCAGAAACGTGATATCAGGGATGAAGGAAGAGCTAGCCTCAAAGCCAGGAAGATGCAGTGCAAATATTGCCTGTGATACATGCTAGCTGGTAGGGTGAATCTCTCAGTGCCTAGGCAGTTCCCAGGGAAGGTTGTAATCTGCCCTGCAGAGGGACTTCCCTCCTTGTGACTCAGAGGACTACACCTCCCACCCAAAAGCAAACAAAGCTTCAAGTGAACCTTTATTCTTTGTCTAAGTTTAAGGCCCAAACAAATCAGCTAATTCTTCATTCTCCCATACAACTACCAGGCAAAGAAAGGCCGTCCAAAAGGCACACATTGAATTTCACTTACAAATTATTCAGTTGCAGAAGTGAGTGGAAAGTAAAGGCAGGAGATCCAGTTGTTGTAAAGGGCATTCTGCCTGGGCCCTGCCTCTCCCTAATTGCTGTCTGCTTTGTTCAGACCAGCTTGTTTTCTTGGGGTTGTCTTCTCACCCTTGCTGAGGGTCAGATCTGACTCACTACCCTGCTTTCCCTGCATACACCCTTATTCCTTTTTCCCAAAGCTCCAGTAGGTGCTGGGAAATTTTTCTTGGAGGGTTTCCCAGAGAGACTGTGACCAAAATCATAGCAAAACATGGGTCAGGGTCTAGGGGGAGACAGAGGATCTTCCTCCAAAGGACTCAGGGGTATTTTATTAAATGGTAACACCTATCAGGAGCCTATAGTGGCATTTAGAACAGACAGGTTGGAGGGCCATTGTCCCCAGATGGGAAAAGTGAGGCTCAATGTGGGAGTCGAGGTAGAGAACCAGGTATCTATTTTTGAATATGGTGTTTTGATGTATAAGAAGTTAACATATATCAACAAAATGTCTTCTTACACAGTGCTTTTGGGCTTCCAGGTAACATCCGCTTTACCACCTTGTGAGTCAGGTACCATGAGTAGTATTATCCCCATTTTATAGCAAAGGACTTTTAGGCCTTGAGATACTGAGAGATGTAGCTATGAGGTAGTAGGAAGAGCTCTGGATTTGCAGTCAGAGGAGTTGAATTTGAATCCTGGCCCTTCCACATATTACCTGCATGCCTTTTGGCATTTAATTTAACCTCTGTGGGTCTCAGTCTCCTTCTCTGTAAAATAAGAGGTTTGGGCTAGATGACCTCAGAGGCTTTTTCCAGCTGAACGTCTCAGATTATAAGAATTACGACCTGATCTCCTGGCTTTCTATCCGGTGCTTTCCCAAGGTGCACGTTTCTTTTCACTTTCTCTGGTCTTGATTTAAGTCTAAAAGAAGAACCCTGTGGTTTTTGGGGTTATGATCTCTCCTTACCTACCACCTTTACATCCATAGTTCGAGTGAGGTTAAACATGCGACCATTCTCCAGATAAGTCACAACGCACGTGTACAATGCTGCGTTGGAGGTGAGAGCGTAGTTGAAGACGAGCTGAGTGCCATTCACTTCGACTTGGTTAAAGCTCTCCACTTTGTTACAGTTCTAGAACAAGTCAAGAAAAAGCAAAAGGAGACAAAACAACCATGTTTAGTATCCTAGGCCTTGGTTTCAAAGATACAGCATACACAGCCACACATATCCACACACATCCTCACAATATACATTCCTGTATGCACACACACATGTACATAATCACATATACACATTCATTCACACACAATACCCACATCCCTACCCAACACACACACACATACAGACACACATAGAAACCAGAAGATGACGAGGATGGGAGAACCCATTTGTCGGAGAAGTTTCCAGGGCCTCCTCTAGGCATGTGACATAAATTCTAGAAAGCCAGAATGCAGCAGGTTAACAGTACTCTTTGACTAACACAGACTAAGCCTAGAATGGGTATACCCTCCTGCCCCCTAAATCAGCCAGGCCTCAGTAGTTCCAGGAACACATTAATTTCCTGCTGCCCACTCCAGGATTCTCATTACCAGAGTACATGGTGCATACAGGGGAAACTCCAATTCCCCTCCTCTCTGGAGGCAGCCAGCCTTTGGCCACCCTGAAGATCTTCCCCAGAATGCAGGAGGCTTGACATTCCAATGCCAGGCCCACCACTCACTCACTTGCTGGCTGCGTGAGCTTTGGCAAAGTTGTGTTCCTTCTCTAAGCTTCATTTGTTCATCTGTAAACTAGAAGACCTAAGGGGACATCCTATTTGGAGTCCTAGGAAATAGGTTTGGATCCTGATTCTTATTCTCTTTGTAACTTTGGGCAAGCCATTTCACTTCCCAGGGTGTCAGTTTACTCATCTGTAAAATGAAATGGTTGGATAGCTTCAGAGCTGGGATCTACTCTACATCTGCCATTTCTTTTCTAAGTCTCAGTTTCCTTTTCTGTATAAAGAGGGCATAGGTGTAGATGACAAAGAAATTTTCTCAAAACTGAGAAAGAAGAAGTCCCTGTGTGAGCAAGTTCTTGTGCTGGGTTTCCTCTGATAGCATTTAGACCTGGATTGTTGTTTCCCTAAAGTCTTTCATAATTTTCGGGCAAAAAAAAAATAGAGAAACATGTCATAAAACAGGACCTATCCACTCCAACATCTTTCACAACCATTTCTGTGGCCACTTACTACCTGTGTGACCTTGGGTATGTTGTATAACTTGTATGGGCCTCAGTTTCCTCAATTGTAAAGTAAGGATTGGAACTAGATTATCTCTAAAATCCCTTCCAGCTTTAAAACTATAAGCCCTATCTCTGATGAGAATACAATGCATCATGAAAAATTAACCAGCCACATGACAGCCCTATCACCACATTGAATGTTTTCATGGCTAAGACCTCACACCAGACACAATTAGAGCTTTTGCATATATTGTTATGACAAATATGCAAGATGATGAAGCCCTCCTGGCACATGTTTACTCTCTAGACCTGTGCTATCCCCAGGAGATTATTGTAAATGCCCTGGGGTCAAGGCTCCTATAACAGAATGAGTGTGTGGAATTAGGCTTGGGACTCTGTTTCTGTCAAACTGGCTTTCCAGTCATCTGACTGTAAATACCTGAGTACCTTGGAAGCAGGCACCACCATGTGGGAGAAAGCACACTGCACTTGGGAAAGTCCAGGATGTGTGTCGGCTGTCACGTAGTAGCTGTGGAACCTCAGGGAAGTCCCTTTACTTTTCACTGCCTCAGTTTCCTCCCCAGTAAGGGGAAGAGGCAAGGCTCCAGGATCAGTCAGCTCCCTTCTATCTGGGGCATTTTATGGGAGTGTGAATTTGACGAGAACCTTTGTCACATACATTTCAAGGCCCCTTCTCAGGCACTGATAATTTGGTCTTAGAGCTCTGTCCCATAGGGAGGTGGATAAGGGTGTTAAGATAGTGAAAAGGAGACCCAAAGAAATCAGAAAGATGTGCTTGAGATCTTGTTGCCCATTAGTCAACGAATCAGCAAGTGACTGTGCTTAAGGCACCGTAAAAACTGCAAAAGAGACAGAGACTAAAGGGGGCAGGCCCTGCCCTTCAAGGAATTCTAATGGTGCGAGCTCAGCTCCAGAGCTAGAACCCAGATTCAGCTCCTGCTTCAATGCATTTTCGAGCTTGTCACCGTTCAATCATTTCAGTCAGGTCCGACTCTCTATCGCCCCATTTGGGGTTTTCTTGGCCATGATAACTGGAGGTGTTTACCATTTCCTTCTTCAGCTCATTTTACAGATAAGGAAACTGAGGCAAACAGAGTGAAGTGTCTTGTTCAGAGTCACACAGCTAGAAAGTATCTGAGGCCAGATTTGAATTCACTTCTTCCTGACTTTGGGCACAGCATTCTATCGTCTGTGCCACCTAGCCTCTTCTCCCCTGGCCTATTCTTGAGCCCACAGTAGCAAGGTAATTATGGAGAACTAGCTCAGTCTATGGTTATGTCTAAATTGGGTCCACTGATGGTATCAATCACCACCAGAGCATCTCTCATCGTCATGTGTGTTCCTCCACTCATGTGAGCAACATTAGCTCAGTCCCTCATCTTCTCCCACTTGAACAATTACAACAAACTGCTAATTGTTGTCCCTACTCATGTCTCTCTAAATCTGACCCAGACTCTTCACAGCTGCCATACGGATTCTTCCAAAGCAGGAATCTGACCATGTCACTCCCCAGTCACCAAATCCCAGTGGCTGCATATTCCATGGGCTCACATTCTTCTCTGTTTGACATTTAAAATCCTTTATAATTTAGCTGCGCCTACCTTGTCAAGTGCATTAATTGATGATTCAATTAATGAACATATGTGCTTTAAGTTACTGATAAAGGCCAGCCACTAGGTGCTAGGGATAGAAATACTTGGAATGAAATAATTTCTACTCTCAAAAAGCTTACGGCTATTGGAGAAACATCTGTCTCTCCCTCTCCCCCCCCCTTTGTCTTTCTCTGTCTCTCTGTCCCTTTCTCTCTGTCTCTGTCTCTCTTTGTCTCTCCCTGTCTCTCTGTCTCTGTCTCTCTTTGTCTATCTTTCTCTCTGTCTCTGTCTCTGTCTCTTTCTCTCTCTGTCTCTCTCTCTTCCCCCCTATGTATCTGCGTTTATGTATGTGTATACATATATATATGTGTACTCATGTGTGTATATATATGCTTATATGTGCATATACATATACAAAAATACTAGGTAATTTAGTAGAAGGTAGTTAAGAAGGGAGTGGACCAGAAGTTGGGAAGGCCCCAAAAAGGCTGTGTATGAAGTAGCCAGTGCCTGAGGTGAGTATTAAAGGAAGTGAGGGAATCTCTGAGGAGGAAATAAGGAGGGAGGGCATTCTGGGCACACATGGGAAAACCAGTGGAAAGGCACAAACCAGATGATGGTGTTATAGTGTGTGAGAATCAGATAGAGGCTCAATTTGACTAGTTTGCTGGGTGCAGGAAGGAGATAATATATGGTGAGGGTGGAAAGACAAGATGTGGCCGGGCTATGAAGTCTGTGAAGTTTATATTAGGTCCTAGAAATCATAGAAGACCAATGAGTAGATTGAGAAGGAGAATGCCGACATCATCTGTGTGCCTGAGGACAATCATTTTGGTTTCTCCATGGCAGGTGGATTGGAGAGGGGAGAAAAGTGGGGCAGGAAGTTCAGTTGTAAGAGACAACTGCGGTAGTCTGGGCTAGAAGTGATGAGGGTCTGGTCTAAGCAGCCAGGATAGTATAATAAAAAGACACCTGGCTCTGGAGTTGGAGATGGGGTTCAAATCCTGGCCTTCACATTTGATACCTTTAAGACTTTAAGCTAGTTATTTCATCTATCTGGGCCTCAGTGTCCTCATTTGTTCAATGAGGAGCTTGGACTAGCTCACTGTTGAAGTCCCTCCCAGCTCAAGCTCTCTGAGATGACCATGTCAAGGTGCTGGCTGACAGCCAAGAGAGCAGGGTTGGATTAAGAGAGCGCTTGTGGGTTACAGAGAGCTTCGCAAATATGATCTAATTGGGTGTTCACAACAGTTCTGGGAAGTAGGTGCTGTTATTATTCCCTGCTCTACAGATGAGAAATCTAAGCTTGGGACCACAAAACCAGTCACTGAGCCTGAATTTGAACTTGAACTCAAGCCTTCATGACTTCAGATGATTGGTCAATGATGCTGATGCCACTCAGCTCTTGGGTGCAAGAGATTTTAGGAAGCCTGTTTTCTAATCATGTTCACCAGGCCCCTCTGTGTGCCACCCGAAGGGGCCTTCTGCCTGTCTCCTGTCCACAACAGTTCATCTTTTTTCCCTTTGCCTTTGCACTAGCTGGACCCCAATGCTTGCTGGACCTTCCTCCCTCGCCTCCGTTTCACAGCATCACAGACCTCCCTCCTGCCAGGGGCCCTTTTGGATCCTCCGTCACCCCAGGTTTCTGTGTACTTCCTCTATGTCCAAATTACTTTGTAGTTATTTCACATATAATTTGGTTTTTTTTAAGTAGAAATGCTGTCAGCCTACTAATAGAATGTAAGCCCCTGGAGGGCAAGGTCAATGTCATTTTCACTTTGTGTCCCCAGTGCCTTCCTCAGTGCCTGGTGCTTAGTAGGTAACCCATTGTTGAATGAAGTCAAGTCAGATTGCACCTATACTATTTGGTAAGGCCCTGGCAGCCAGGGAGGTATGATTCTAGTGAAAAATGGGGATGTGGAAAATGCAGCTTTGCCAGGCATGTGCCTTGCCATGTTCCCCAGTGTTTGGGCTCTGCACTCAGCTCTAGCGTCCAGCAGGGCTGTCAAGCCCATGATCCGACCAAAGGTAAGTGCCCATGAGTTCATATGTGGTCTTTACAAAAGATCTCCCTGACAACTCAAATGTTTTTTCCTTTGAATAAATTAGGTGGATTTCAAGCTTCAGTGCCAATATTCTTCAGTCATCTGTGGTTTCATCATGGTGGGAGCTGCCTCTGTTAATACAGGGTGGAACTCCTCTGTGATTGAAGTCTTTATTTATCGCTGAGGCTGAAAAATTCTACACCACGTGACAAAACTGGCAGTGGGTAGGGCTTGTTCACTCCAAACTCTC